CCGGCCCTATCCAGCCTTCCCTCCCGCTCGCCTATCTCCCCCACCTGGAGAAGGCAGGAGTCCATTGCTCTTTTACCCCCCACTCCACCCCTGTCAAAGTGGCCCATGATCTACTGGCTGTGTCCTGCTAGTCCCGGGAAGGTTTGGCTCTGTGCCCATTAGCATTCCGGCTCCTGGCCTCTGTCCCCCACCCCCAGGAATGGGCAGGGAAGGGATGGGGGAACTGAACTGGAACCGCCCTCAGGGGCAGGTGCCTGGGCAAGTATTGAAGGACTTTAATCTTCCAGAGTCAGGAGATAGAGCCCCCATGAGGGACTTGGGCTCTCATTCCTCTCCCTTGTGGATCAGCCAGAGCCAAGGTAGAATCCCAGGGATGCCGAGGGAGGCTGCAGCAGGCCTGGGTACCCCGGCCCAGTCCTTCCGTCCTCTGGTCTCCCCTTGTCTGCAGTCCCACCCAAGGCCTGTTGGTTAAATCTTTCTCTAACTTCCCACTGTCCATCCCACCAACAGACCTCAAATGACCTAGCAGAGCCTGCCAGCAAAGTTTGCAACCCCAGGACGGCAGAAAAGAGTTGGTGACAATGGAGCAGGGACAGGGGAGGGGGATGGAACAAAATGCCTTGGAAGTTGGACCACCTGGAGGGGTGTAGGGGGAGTAGCCCCCTGCTGGTCTCCCGCAGTTCTGATTCATTTCATTCCCACCTCTAATCTTTATTTTAAGTTTATTTATTTATTTATTTATTGAGAGAGAGAGAGAGACAGAGAGAGAGACAGAGAGAGAGAGAGGCTATGAGAAGGGAAGAAACAGAGAGAAAGAACCCCAAGTAGGCTTCGCACTGTCAGCGCAGAGCCGGAGCTCTATCCCATGAATGAATGGGGCTCGATCCCATGAACCGTGAGATCATGACCTGACCAAAATCAAGAGTTGGATACTTCACCGACTGAGCCACCCAAGCGCCCCACCACCACTGAGCCTTACGTCAGGCATTGTGCTGGGCAGGGAGGCCTGACCAGACTGGTGTGTTAAGGAGATAAAGAAAATTCCGCTTAGCCCTGCAGCCCTGGGTTTACTCAGTTGCAGATTTCCAGTTTAGGACAGTATTTCTGGCACTCACAGCAAATGTCGCCCTGGAGTGAACCAAGGAGTCCTGCGGCATTGCACAGGAAAGACTGAGGCTGAGAGTAGCAATGGGAGGCAGTACGAGGTGGGGAAGTACAAGGAGTGTGAGTTCTGCAATCCAGCTGCCTGAGTCTGCCTCTACCAGACTCTGCTGTGGGGCTGTGGACAACTTACTTAACCTCTCTGTGCCTCAGTGTCTTCACTCGTGAGCAGAGAGTGTTCTGAGGATTTCAAAGACGGAGTCTACAAAGTGACAGAGCACCTTGGACACAGGAAGTGCCAGGAGAGGCCACCAGCATGCCACTGTGGTGGTAGCCCTAAGGGTTGCATGTAACAGATTATTTCTTGGTCGAATCAACCAGACCTGCTGGCTGATTTGATGTGGGAGGAGAGACAGAGGAATCCAGTTCCTGGCTCAGGCAGTGGTGAGGCTCCTGGAGCAGGAGGCAGGGTTAGAGGGCTCTGTCCTGGCAGAGAGCTCGGGGTATGGGTAGAGCACATCAGGGAGCCCTGCTCCTCAGCTTCCATCATCTGCCGCTCCCTCTCCCTCCCTCTGGAGCCTGTGCACTCAGATGTGGGGGAAATGACTCTGGACATGGGCGTTTTCTCCTTCATGGGGACTGTCAGTATATTTGAGAGGCAGTGTATTTGAGAGAGACAGAGCACACGGGACTCCCAACGCCTTGGGTAGAGCCACCCCCTGCTCTCCATCTTCCTAGTCTGGGGACTTTGAATATGCGGTTTGACCTTTTTGTGTCTCAGCTTCCTCACCTGTAAAATGGGATAACAATAATACCTATCTCATAGGATTGTTGTAATGCTTAAGAAAGTGAATGTATATAAAGTATCAAGAAGAGGGCCTGATACATGTTAATGATTGTTATTACTTATCTGTCCTAACACTTGTCTGGGCGGTGTGGAGGTGTCTAATGACAGTCAGGGGAGGGTGAAGGTTGTACCAGGGCATGGCATGACTGTTCCCAAGGTGTCCACTATCTGTCTTGGATGTCTTACTCAGAAACATTCCCCTAGTCCCCTGTCCCCTGCAGACCTCAGCCTTGATTAAATATCGGTTGAGTGGTTAGTTTACTTGCCAGCCCTCACCCAGGAATCCCCAGAAGGAAAAACCCGGCCCCATCATTTGCCTTGGTGGAAGGCAGGGGGCTTTGCCTGCCAGTAATAAGAATGAGGCAAATGGAAGGTCCAATTCCTAGGCCTGCCCTGGCTACCAGTTAACAGGCAACCACCCCAGCCATGTTCTCAGTCTCCTAAGAGAGGGAGAATGAGAAAGAGATGTAAGAAAAGAAAGGTAAGGAGAGAGTAGTGTTGAGAGAGAACATGGATGGGGTGGGGGGAGTAGGTTTGAGACACTTCATTTTCACTCATTTAAATTACTGTCATTTAAGTGACCCCCCCACACTTGTGCACATATGCTCAATCTCCCTGTGCATAGATCTCTCTTTTAGGCATTTAGTCCAGATTAGGAGAGTGAATACAATGTATACACAGTACAATACAGCATGGGGGTTAAGTGGAGCCTGACAACCTGGGTTCAAGCCCCAGTTCATCATTTGCTAGCTGTGTGACCTTGGCAAGTCACTTAATACCTCTGAGTCCCAGCTGCCCCATGCGTATAAAGTGGGAATGACACTACTACTCCTTCCTAGGGTACTGGCAGAGATTAAATACATGGAGCCCCCAGAACAGTGCCAAGCTATTGGCACAACAGGCTATTGTGACCTGAAGGTATGCAGATGCTCTGCTCCATTTCCCAGTTCCTTTTCCACCTGCCCAAGTAAGGGCAAGTATAAAGAGGAAATGGGGATCCCTTTCTGACCCCACTGCCAGTCCCTTTGAAACTCCTCTGTCAGAGTTTCTAGATCAGGTCACTAGCCCCAGCAACCTAACTCCAACTGCCCGCCCCCCGCCCCCTGCCCCCAACGCTTCCTCAATTCTCTTATGTATGCACCCTGTGCCCCAGCCTGTTTTCCTTTCCTGTCCACAACTAAGCTGTTCTCCCCTCTTCCAAATTCCCAGAACTTGGGTGGGTGGGTTTGGGCTTGGGGCTCTCCTCCTTCCTGAAAGAGGCATTTAAAACTCCACCACCATTTCTCAAAAGGTGAACCCAGCAGGGGTAGCTGGCTCAGTCACTTAGCATCACATTCTTTTTTCTTTTTTTAATGCTTATTTATTTATTTAGAGCTGGGGGGCAGGGGCAGAGGGAGAGAGAGAGAATCCCAATCCCAAGCACGCTCCATACTGTCAGCGCAGAGCGCCGCTGGGGTGCCCCATTTTACCAACCGTTGAGACAAGACCACAGTCGAAGTCAAGAGTCAGACACTTAACCAACTGAGCCACCCAGGCGCCCCGAGGGACTGACTCTTGATTTCAGCTCAGGTCATGATCTCAGGGTTGGTGAGATGGAGTCCTGCATGGGGCTCTGCACTGACAGCGAAGAACCTCTCTCTCTCTGCCCCTCCCCAGCGCAAATAAACAAACTTAAAAAAAATGTAAACCTAGCAGATAACCTTGGGGTATTTGCTCAAAATACAGATTTTCCATTTCATGCCAATAGAACTGAATCTGAATTTAGGGGTAGGGAGGATAAAGCTTTCATTTTGGCTCCTGGGTGGATTTTTAAATACACATTAAAACGGAGATTTTAATCACAGTTAAAATCCGTCTCCAAGAAAATAATCATCGGTGGGAGGTGGGGGCTCAGTGTCCCCAGGCAGCCTGGATGGTTTATTAGAGTGTCTTCCCCAATGCAGGCAGGCTCAGCAGCAAAAGAAAAGGGACAGAGACTGGGACAAAAAAAAGTGAGTCCTAGAAAGAAGAGAGTGGGGCGTGCGACTCCTTGCAAAACCCTCATCAACGTCCTCACCAATTACCGGGCGCTGAGGGTGTCGCAGCCCAGGAGCCACTGTCTCTCCGCTTCTCAGAAGCTGAGTGGGGCGAAGAAGGCGGCTCTGGGCCATCTGCCCGGTGGTGGAAACTGAAGCCCAGGAAGGTGACCGGCCTTGGTACAGAGCTGCCCGGGACTGTGGAATCCCGAGGCCCTGCTTCTACCGCCCCCCCCCCCCACCCCGCCCTCCCCAGCACCGTCAGCCCGGGAGCACGCGGTGGGGGCGTGGTTCTTTAAAACCCTCTTTCTTCCGAAGCTGTGCCACAATTCCGGCCCCCACCCATCCTGGAGAGCAGTCCTTTCCCCAGCCTCAGTTTCCCCACCTGCGCGCGTGTGTTTATGCGTGTGGGGTGTGTGTGTATCTATCCTAAAACCCAGCGCTTCCTCTCCAGCCTCAATTTCCCCACCCGCGCCCGTGTGTGTGTGTGTGTGTGTGTGTGTGCGTGTGTGTGTGTGTGTGTGTGTGTTTGCCGGGCAGGGGAGGGGTGGGGTAGGGAGGGGAGGCTAGGCAGCGGGATTCCCCACGGGAAGGCAGCCCAAACCCTCCCCCGGACTGTTCGAGACCCTGAACCGAAACAGGAGGCAGGACGCCCCCGGCCGGGAAGCGGCCCCAGCCCGGATTTCCCTCCCGGGTGGGGCCGCAATGACTCACCCCCCTCCCCCTTCCCTTGGTTTCCTTGTTTGCATTTCTCCTCCCGGCCACGTGGCGGCCTGTGAGGCCACTCAGCACCCCTACCCCGACACTCAGGCCGTGGCCGCGGGGGCACACAACCCCGGGCCGCTCCTGCCCCCTGGGGTTTCTCAGGCCTCCGACTCTTGCCTGACCTACAACCCGCGAGTCCGGACTCCACCCCCTGCCCAGCCCGCCCCCTTCCCTGTGCCCTCCCCCACAGTAAGGCCGGGCGCCTCCTCCCCGCCCTCCCAGCCCTTCCCGGGGAGGGGAAGGGGGCGGGCAGCGCAGGGGGTGTGACAGCTCCCGCCCGGACCAGTGCCAGCTGCAGCCTCGCTTCGGCGCCCGGTGCCAGCTGGCTCATTCGTCTGGGACGGAGGCGGAGGCTTGGGGCTCCTTGCCGCTGCGGGGGGACTCCCCCCCACGCCCCCTGCCCTCAACCCACCCGAAAGGAGCCTCTACACCCAGCCCGTTACCCTGGCAGCCCTTCCAGCTAGGAATTAGCCCTGTTCGCTTCACCTGGGGTTTACAGCCCTCACTCCTCCAGGAGCAGTCGGGGTCTCGCTGAGGGTCCCCCCCCCAACCTTTGCTAGAGCCTGCAGGGCTGTGCAAGCTTGAGAAGGACCATGAAGGTGGGTAAAGTTGGGGTCAGGGTGGGGAGGAGCAGGAGAGGAAGCTGACATGGTGGGTGGGGTGTTTGAGTGGGAGAGAGAGGGCTGCTCAGGGGTGAAGGAGAAGGGGAGAAGAAGGGTTTGAGCTGAAGCTGCATTTCTGGAGGATCCAGTGAGTCGGTAGCCTCGTACTGGGAGGTGGCGGAGATCCCTCCAGGGACAAGGGCAGTGGGGTGGGGCAGAAGTCCAAAGAAGACCGGGAAGAAAGGCCCGATCTCCGGTCTGCCAGCTGGAGACCCCTAAGTGCGCCAGACCGGCAGGCCCCAGTGAAGGTCTTCCTGTCCCTCCCCCGGCTCCTGGCAGGGTTGCAGCACCTCCGCCTGACCAGTCCAGAGGACTCCGAGGAAGTGGTTCTGCCTGGGGCAGTTGTGCCCTGGTCCAGCTGCCCCAGCCCTAGCCCCATGGCTCTCTGCCTTCTTCCCTGCGTCACAGGTGGGCTGGCCAGGTGAGAGCCGCTGGCAGGTGGGCCTGGCTGTGGAGGATAGCCCAGCTCTAGGAGCATCACAGGTGGGCGGCCTCCCGGACGTGGTACCGGAGGGGACCCTGCTCAACATGGTGCTGAAGAGGATGCATCGGCCCCGGAGCTGTTCTTACCAGCTGCTGCTCGAGCACCAGCGCCCCAGCTGCATCCAGGGGCTCCGCTGGGTGAGTGCCCATCATCTGCCCGGGCCAGGGCCGTGTACCAAGGACCGGAGAGGGGCCTGGACAGGGAGAAATCCTGCTGCTGGGGGTGTGGGGGCTCCTGCTGGGGTGGACAGTGGGTCAAGGAGCTTGGCTGATGTGTGTGTGGGCGGCTCACACAACTGCACCATGTGCATCTGTGTGTATGAGGTCCTCGCGCCTTCCCATTCTGGCGTGGGGGAAGGGGAAAGGGATTTGTCATTTATCTGTCACCTCTGTGTGCCCTGAGTTAGGTGCCTGTGTGTTCTTCAGGTGGTGGTGGGAGGCATGTGTGAAATACTGGGGGCCAGGTCAAGGTGGGAGGTGAGGTAAGCTTGGTTACTGCTCTTGAAATATCACCGTGGCAACATTCTCCCTTAGTGAGTAACTGAACTGCGAGGATTCTTCTTGATCTTGGGGTGAGGTGGCCATGTGAACACTGCTTGGCATCTGGCTTTGGGGGGCCCAGGGGAGGATTCTGAGAAGTTTGAAGACTGGTCTCTAGACATCAGAATTGAGAGGATAATCTGGGTGTCCCTAGCTCTCCCCCCAACCCCTCCTGCACTTCCTCCCTGGATCTTCCTGATCAGGGCCCTCTTGGGCCAGTGTCCTGCTCAAGATGGGGCTCTGGAGGGAGCAGGGGAGCTGGCTCCTTCTGGGCTAAGCTGTCGCCCCACCCCTCCAGGTCACTGGTAGTAGCTACTGCTTGGAGCCTGTGGGCTGGAACCCTCCCTCTTTCCCTCTCAGGCTATAATTACTTGTGCATTTCCTGTCCCCTTCCCAGCTTGTAGAGGCAAGGTGGTGAGTGGGGGAAAGGTCAGGTGCCAGGACAGTGAGGTCACTGGAGAATCCCTTGGGACCCAAAGTCTGGGAAGGGGTGGAAGAGGCCGCCAGGCTGTCTCCTGACTCCCTCAACTCCCAGAATTGAAGGGCTGGGGTGCGTGGGGAAGCCGGAAAGGTGGCGTGAGGGTTGCTGGAGTGTAAATGGGGTGAAAGTCACAGAAACACAGCCCCTCTCTAGCCAGGTGTGTGTGTGTGTGTGTGAGGGGTAGGTGGAACTTGGTGATTCAAAGGAGCTTAGATTTTTAGGCCTAGGGGCACAGGCCACGCCCTGCCCTGCTGACCATCCTTGGGGAATGGGCGAATGAGGTGGCTTCAGCCCACTGAGGCTGTGTTTAAGAGGTTCTGGGTACTTGTGAAGTTGCTCCTCTCCCCTATAAGATGATGTGTTTGGCCTCAGAGGGGCTTATATGAGGGAAGTGCGAGTCAGGGAGTGTGTACAAGTAGGGTAGAGGGTGGATGTTGTAAAGGGGTGGAGCCTAGGAGAGCCGTGCTGGGAGTTATTCAGGCCATGCCTGCAGAGTAAAACCCATCAACCTCCTGAGGTCTGAAGAGAATACTTTCTGTTGCTACTAGATCAGGCCAAGAGAAAATGAAAGCAGGTTACCGGAGGATGAGGTTAGACAGACGACGGACTTACCATTGATGGCAAAAGTGACACTGGAATGAGATGGAAGAGCATCTCCTTTGGGGCAACCACATGCAAAGTAACCGCTTGAGCTAAAGCCGACCCCAGAGCATCTCCTTTGGGAAGCATGAGAGAGAGGGGAGAGCTTGTCCAATGTCTGGGAGCCAGAGACGGATCAATTTACCTAGAGGCAGGGGCAAGATCAGGATGACCTCTGGTGGGTCCCAGAAGCTCAGAGAAGCCTGAGATGTTTCCCTTTGAGTGATTGTTTTGGGGGAGGTGGCTAGATTCTCTAACTCAGAAAACATGCTTTCATCCAAGCATGTTCAAACAATGGTAGTAGCCAATAGTTGTATAATACTTGTGTCCCAGGCAGCATTAAAAGAGCTTTACCTTTTTTATATCAAATAATCCGACAATAGCCCTGTGCCAGCATCCCATTTTATAGATGAGAGAACAGAGGCACAGAGTGGCTAAGTGGCAGGTCCAGGGTTATACTTCTGCTAAGAGACAAAGTTAGGCTTCTGTGACAGGTGACCTGGCTATGGAGTCTGACCTCACGGTGTACTTTCTTCTGCAAATGGTAACACTGACACCCCAAAGCATCCCCTTTCCCTTGTGTCCTCTCCCTGTCTTGCCACACACAGCCCTGGCCTGAGACCCTAGCCATGGCCTAAGGGAACTGGTCTGACAGGTCCCCACGAGGCTCTCTGGCTCTGTGCCTGCCCCTTCGGTGTGGCTCTGACACTGAGTGACAGGGAGGGAGGGGCAGGCTGTGGCACTGGTGCAGGGAAGCTAGCTACCCCCTCCTCTCCTACCCTGCGTCCTTCCTGTCCAGGTAGGAGAGGAGGCAGCGGACAAGGACATTCCCCCTACCCATACCAGCCACTTCTTTCCAACTGAGAACCCTAAGCTGACACTCAGGGTTATCAGATCAGAGACAGGGTCAGCCAAGGTCCAACATTTCTTGCATTGTGTCCAGGTAATAGGCACCCATCATAAAATAATGAAGTTTAATCAAGTTGCTTAACATTTACCAAGCAGTTACCACAAGCCAAGCATCACTTCGAGTGCTTTATGTTATTAACTCATTTGATCCTCATAATTACCCATGAGATAGGTACTATTATCATTAACCCCATTTTACAGATGAGGAGACTGAAGCAGAGAGGTTAATGAGCAGCCAGGGTCACACAACTAGCTGGTAGTGGGGAACTGAGATATGACCCAGGCACATGGATCACAAGCCCATGCCCTTGACAGTTTCCTGAATAGTACCCCCACCCCCAGCCTAGGAGGCTCCCAGTGCATATGGACGTGGTAGGAAGCCAGAGGGATAACAAACCCATGGACCTTTGTTTAACGCCATGTCCTGGCAACCTTACTTGCCCATGGAACATTCCTGAGGGCAGGATTTACCCTCCTATCGCATAAAGTGGGACAAGCACGAGGTGGTGGAGGTGCCTGGGAGATGGTGACCTATGCTTTGGGATCAGACAGGCACAGTGTGAATCGTGGTGCCCCTATTCACCCACTCTCAGGACAGCTTATCTAACCTCAGAGCCTCCTTCTGTCTAGCTGTGAAATAGGAGACAAACACCTATTTCCAGGGCGACTGTTGGTTATTCAGTAGGATCTTGAATTTCTGAGTAGTTGTGTGACTCTGGGTAAGTTACTTCATCTTTCTGGGCTCCTGCTTTCCTTGGCAAATTGAGAGAGATGCCTTCGGGAACCTTCCTCAGTTCTGATGGCCAGAGCCGTCTTCTTCTGACCCTCCTGCTTATTCCCTGGGGCAGGGCAGGAAACGGTTTAAACAAGGCCTGGAGATCTGGGATCTGGGTTGCGACCAGTCTCGCCCCATGAGCTGGCACCTCCCCGCCTGATGTGCCCTCCAGGGTCAGAATAATACCAGGAAGGGAGCATATGCTAGAGCCTGGGTCGTGGGCACCAGAGAGTTGGGGCAGGGACAGGGGTCACCTGGGCCTTTTGACATGAACAACAACAAGTCATTAGTGCTCGGGACTGTTTGTTCCGACACAGGGGGCTGGCTGGATAGCATTCCTGCCCTTCCTCCTTCCCCGGCTCCTCCTCCTCCTTCTCCTCCTCCTCCTCATTTCCTGTTGCTAAGTCTCCAGGGCTCTGTGTCTGGCACCAGGCTGGGCCCCATGACCCGGGCAGGGATACCCTTGGGACACCTAGCGACTTCCGCCCAGCCCTGGGCCAGGCGCCTATGCGTGCCAGACCTCAGGCCTCTGCCTGGCACGCAGTGGGAGGGTGCCAGGACCAGGAGAGGGGGTTCTGGCCCCAAGCCTGGTTGTACCTCAGCTTCCCAGCCAGTCCTTCTCGGGACCTGAATACAGATGGGAAAGCAGGAGAGAGAGCTGGGGGGGAAGGGGGAAGGGAAGGAACCGGGCAGGTGAGGTGGGTGGGATGAGACCAAGAATGTGAGCACTTCTGGAGTTTATGCAGGGCTGTCTGGCTGTCCCAAGTACATGTGACTGAGCTACACGGGCTCTTTACTCTAAGACTTCTGCTTCCTAAGTCAAGGAGGACAGACAATCCCTGTTCTGCCCTACTTTATATTTGGTCCTATTCTGTATAGAATCAGAGGAAATCATGGAGGGAGACGTGCTTTGCAAACTGTAAAGTGCTGTGCCTTTGGGAGGGCTCATTGAGGGTAGGGCATCCTGTCCAGGGATGTTCACAAGTTCCAGTTTTCAGGCGGCAGAAAAAGAAGTGTCCTAAGGGGCTTTCACGCCTGTGGGTCCCGGATGGCTCGGCTGATACCAAGGGCATGGAAACCTTGTTACCCAGTGTTTCTGCATAAATCCTGCCTTCTGGGGCCAGTCTCGGGTGCCGCCAAGACTTTGTCACTCTTGCAGGGTTATGGGCATCATCTCTGGGAGGACAGGGGCTTTCCAGAAAGCAGCCCGCTTTCTGCTTCACAGATGAGTAATAACACTTAACTTGTACATACAACTCTATGCTAGGCAGTGCTTTAAACATTCAGTACGAATCACCCACAGAGCCCTTCCCAAAGCCTTGGGGTTGGTATTATGAGTGTTTTATAGAGTTTATAGACAAGGAAGCTGAGGCAGGGAGATGTCAAACAATATATTTGGGATCACACTGCTGGTAAATGGAGGAGCATGGACTTGAATTCAGGAGTCTCAGGGTTTGGTGGTTGGGGACAGAGCCTGGCCCGGGATTGGGCATTGGGACCCTGGCCCAGGAGCAGGTGTTCTAGGCCTGCCTCCCAAGCTGCTCACTTCTGGCCTATCATGGGCCTTTCTTACCTCCCATCCTCATGCTCTTCCAGCTCTCTCCCCTGCACAGGTGTGGTTAACCTGGGAGCCTGGGCGCACCTAGGTCCTGAGTAAGCAGAATGGGGAGCTCATCTGTGGGGGTACAGCACTCGTGTCTAGAAGGAAGGCAAAGTTCTGGTGATAGGGTGGGAAGAGGTGGGAGCTTGGCATACAGGGGTGCTCGGGGGAAGTAGTTTATTTGTAGACTGAGTGGCAAGCTGCACGTGTTTGGAGCTGGGGACTGGGCAAGGGCTGAGAGGCATGGGGGAGGGCTGAGGTTAAGAGCTGGACTTGAAGGGCTGGCACTAACGTGTAGACCCTCCCTCTCCTCCTGCCCTTGCCCTTAGACGCCACTCACGGACAGTGAGGAGTCCCTGGATTTCAGCGTGAGCCTGGAGCAGGTACCAGCCAGGAGGGGTGGATCCGGGAGGGGGCAGCCAGGAGGTCAGGGCCTGAGCCGCTATGCCGCTCCCTGTCCTAGGCCTCCACGGAGCGGGTGCTCAGGGCTGGGAAGCAGCTGCATCGACATCTCCTGGCCACCTGCCCAACCCTTATCCGAGACCGGAAGTACCACCTTAGGCTCTATCGGTGAGTGGAGGCCTCAGCTGCCTCCTTGCCCACCCCCATTTTCTCTCCCTTTTGCTCTCCTTTGGGCATCTGGTCCGAGTCCTGCTTCTAGCCTAGGAAGGCACCTTTTTCCTTAAAAAAATTTTTTTAACATTCATTTAATTTATTTTGAGAGAGAGAGAGAGAGAGAGAAAAAGAGAGAGAGAGAGAGAGATTGAGAGCAGGAGTATACAGCAACAGAGGGACAGAGAAAAAGGGAGAGAGGAAATCCCAAGCAGGCTCTAGTCAGCGCAGAGGGAAGGCACCTTTCTGACGGAAAGTCTTCCCTCTGCCCTTCACCCCCCTGCCACTTAATTCTCCCTCTTCTTCCCTGTCCCCTTGCCTCTTGTAGGCAGTGCTGCTCTGGCCGGGAGCTGGTGGATGGGATCTTGGCCCTAAGCCTTGGGGTTCATTCCCGAAGCCAAGCTGTTGGAATCTGCCAGGTGCTGCTGGATGAAGGTGCCCTTTGCCACGGTGAGCCTGAGCCCAGGGTGGGGCCCCCGGGCCATCCAGTCCTGGGGAGCAGGCATCTGGGGGTGAGGAGGAGGTGGACATTGCAATGGGGGCTTTGTTCCCACACACCTCAGTTTCCTCTCCTCCCTCTCACCTGGGTCTCCACTCTGCAGTGAAACATGACTGGACCTTCCAGGACCGAGATACCCAATTCTACCGTTTCCCCGGGCCTGAGCCAGAGCCCGTGGGAGTTCATGAGCTGGAGGAGGAGCTGGTGGAGGCTATGGCCCTGCTCTCCCAGCGGGGGCCCGATGCCCTGCTCACTGTGGCGCTTCGAAAGCCGTGAGTCGGGTGCCCCACACCCCACAATTCCAGGCCTCACGTGGCTCTCAGACTCTAGTTTCTCAGTTTCATCACTGAGAGTTTCCCTTACTCGCTGTGTGATCTGGAGTCTTCCTTCCCCGCCTTTGGCCGTTTCTTCCTCTGTAACCGTGGGTGGGGGGCACAGGGCCTCCAAGACCTGTCTGCTCTGGTGCAGCAGTGGCTGAGGGAGGGAGGGCTTTGGAGTCTGCAGGCAGGTATGGGTTCAAATTCCAGTTCCACCGGCTACTTGCTGGGTGGCCTTGAGCCTCTCCGTGCCAGCTTCTTCTTCTGTCAAAGGAGGATAACGGTGGCCACATCATGAGGCTGTCACGAGGGCAGACGTAACACCTAGCTCTCGTCTGGCACTCAGTGTGCACTCAGTGGTGGCTGACCTGTTATGGGTCACCATCCGGCTGGCCTCAGGCCAGAGCACGGCGGGTGAGCAGCTCCCATGCCCTCAGACCCGCGGTACACTGTGTGCCTTCCGGCCCTCCCGTGCCCGCAGCCCAGGTCAGCGCACAGACGAGGAGCTGGAACTCATCTTTGAGGAGCTGCTGCATATCAAGGCCGTGGCCCACCTCTCCAACTCGGTCAGTCTGCCTGCCCCATACCATCCCCAGGAGCCCCTCTCCCCGTGAGCCCCGAGGCCCCAACTACTGGGCCAGAAGACACCTCCCTCGCCTTTTGCCAATGGCTAGGAAATTCCCATCTAATTTTTTGTTCCCAGCATCCTTGTCCCAAAATCCTCCTGCCGCTCTTAGGTCATTCCCTCCCCTTGCACTATACCCCGCTGAGTCCCAGGCACCAGACCAGGCCGCATCGCTGCCCCCAAGCACTTGAGTCTTTGGACCTAACCTCCCCCGCCTTACCCTGGACTCACTGCACTGACCCTCCTCTCCCCACCTCACAGGTGAAGCGGGAATTAGCGGCAGTTCTGCTCTTTGAACCACACAGCAGAGCGGGGACCGTGTGTAAGTCAGACAGGGGACAGGAAGCTGGGCAGCAGGGACCCAGACATGGCCAAGGCCATGGAGAAGTCGGGGGTGCCCACAGCAGTGTCTGATCTGTGCTTCTCTCAGTGTTCAGCCAGGGAGACAAGGGCACCTCGTGGTACATTATCTGGAAGGGGTCTGTCAACGTGGTGACCCATGGCAAAGTGAGTTCTTCCTGTCTCCCCAGCCCTCGGGCTGCACCGGCTTCCCTGGTCCAAGTCCTCATGGGCAGTGCCTTCAACAGACCCAGGGTTGCCAGTCTCCCAGCTCTCCTCCTGTCTTGGGGTTCTCCCACCACACACGTGTTCTGATGAGTGTTGGGGGGGCCTGGCTGGGCTGTGACTGAGACCTGGCTGCAGGGGCTGGTGACCACACTGCATGAGGGGGATGACTTTGGACAGCTGGCTCTGGTGAATGACGCACCCCGGGCAGCCACCATCATCCTGCGAGAAGATAATTGTCATTTTCTCCGGGTAGACAAGCAGGACTTCAACCGCATTATCAAGGTGCCATTACTAGGGGTGGGGAGGGCAGGGGACACGGCAGGGACACGTCTCTGGAGAAGTAGTAGGCGGTGAAGTAAGGGGCATGGGCCAGAGAGGGCCCGTAAGGAGCAGGGAGAGGTAGGAGATGGGGAAACTTGGAGGTGATGGCCGGCGCATGGCTACGTGAGGGGGTCCATAGCACACGGAGGAGGTTCAGTGAAACCCAAGAACTCCAGCTCAGTGTTGGAGACCGTGGGGGTGGGAAGTCAAAGAGGGTAGGGGACTAGGGTATGAGGGGAGGCAGTGTAATGGAGAGGGGGCCGCAGAGGGAGGCCAGTGAGAGCTGGGTAGAGGAGCGGCTCAGGCTGGGTGATAGACAGGACGGGTAGAGCAGCTCCAAGGTCGGGCCTGGAATGGGGTGGGAGAAGGACTGAATGTCCTTGTGGGAGCCTGTGGGTCTGGCATGGAGGAGGAGGGAGATGCCCTCGAACGGAGAAAAGGAGCCGTGGTGTGTGCTGAGCACTGGGTGTGGCTTGCTGTCCAGGATGTGGAAGCAAAGACCATGAGGCTGGAAGAGCATGGCAAAGTGGTGTTGGTGCTGGAGAGAGCCTCTCAGGGCGCTGGCCCTTCTCGCCCCCCAACCCCAGGCAGGAACCGGTAACACACCCGCCACTCTCCTTCCGCACCCCTTCTCTCTTGCCCACCTTCTCTCCTTCTGCTTCCCAAGCTTTACTCCCTTCTCCCATGTCTGACCCCTGCCTGCTGGCCTCCTGGGGGTGGGGAGAAGGGGAATCCAGGCACAAGGTACCCCCTCCCCCCCAGAGCCAGCTTTCCCTCCAATCCCAACACTGGATAGAACTGGCAAATAGGGAAGGGTGATATGATGTGATTGATTATTGATGTCTGTCCCAGATGTGGGAGTGGGGAGTGGTAGCACGTGTGCTATGGACTGGCTGCTTCTGCTAGGTATACGGTGATGTCTGGCACCCCGGAGAAGATCCTAGAACTGCTGTTGGAGGCCATGCGGCCTGATTCCAGTGCTCATGACCCAACAGGTAGGGGCAAGAGATACCCTGCCTGCCGTGTGACTCATGGGGTGGGCGGGCAGTGTAGTCTGGGAGAGGGCCAGGCACCCTGAGTCTGACCTCACTGGTGCTGGGTTGGTCCATTTGGTCAGGCGGCAGGAAGTACTCCTTCCTGTGCTCTTGGCTTAGGTGGGGAGAGCTGTCACAGGGGCTGGGCATTGCTGGCCCTCTGCCCATTATGGGACTGGGAGAAGGGACACTCCAGCGGTGCACGTATCTGTGCTCAGTAGACTTAATCTCTGAAGCCTCCTCCTGTCCCCTTGTCCCTGCCCTACAGAGACATTTCTCAGTGACTTCCTCCTGACCCACAGTGTCTTCATGCCCAGCGCCCAGCTTTGTGCTGCCCTGCTGCACCAATATCCTTCCAGCCCCAGGGTGCCTGGGATGTATGGAGCAGGGAGGAGGAGTCTCTCACAGCAGGGCTGTGCTGAACCCTCTGAGGTACCAGCCTCATGCCAAGGCCGGCGTGTCAGTGGGCCCTGGGCATCCTTGCCCCTCCTCTGCTTGCGGTGCGGCAGGCAGTCTGGTTGGATGTTGTGGTTCCCTTGACTGGTGCCCACCTTCCACGCGGAGCCCTCGGGAGGCAGCGAGCAGGAGCACAGCACCTACATTTGCAACAAGAGGCAGCAGGTCCTGCGGCTGGTCAGCCAGTGGGTGGCCCTGTATGGTCCCATGCTCCACGCTGACCCCATGGCCACCGGCTTTCTCCAGGTACCTGGGAGGGAGGCAGGGCGGGACTGGGCTGCCAGCCCAGACAGCATTCATCTGTGTTGATGACTCTTGGCTCCTCCCAGAAACTCTCAGACCTGGTGAGCAGAGACGCCCGCCTTTGCATCCTGCTGCGGGAGCAGTGGCCCGAGAGGCGGAGACATCACAGGTAATGCCTCGGCTCCAAGTAACTTTCCATATGCAGGACCCGCAGGGCATCAGGGACTGAGAACATCTCTGGAGTCGAACAAGTGGCTTTAAATCCAAGCCGCACCGCCTATAGCTGTGCTGCCCTGGGCACATTCCCCCCTCTCAGGGCTTTGGGCTCTGGTGTGTAAAACTGGGGGAGAGTTCCCATGTCAGGAGGATGGAATGTTACCACGTCTTAAGAGCACAGAGCAGTGCCTTGAGTGCCCCACGTGCATCACGAGTGTCGGCTCTGGTTGCTCATTTGTCTGGTCCTGTTCATTCTGTGAGCTGTTCTTACCAGTTTCCTTACTGTCCACCCTCACTCATATTCATGCATTCTCTTGCGTCACTCATGTGTCATTCTCATACTCCGAGTGCACCTGCTGTCCTCACTTCCTCCATTCTGCACGTATTTATTACCGAGCATCCTCAGTGCTAGTTCCTGCCGGCCCCACCCGGTGAATTTCCTAGAGCTTATCTTGGCGCTCCCAGACATTCCCGTGTGGGCAGGTGAGGCTCAGGGAGAGCTCACCTGCAATGGCCCTGCCCCGTCTGACACCTGGGGCACATTACTTCCTGGAACTCTCTTTCCTTCCCCTACTGGCCTGGGAAAACCACCGAGTGCAGGGTCTGGGTTTCAAGCCCCAGCTTTGCCCCTCTCTAGCTAGTACTCACCAAGTCTGCAAAGCTCTGAGACTCTAAGGAGGGAGGGGGGGATCCAGAGCCAGCCCTCCCTGCCCCCTGCCCTGCCCGCAGTGGCCGCTGATCTCATCTCACTTCCCTTCTCACTTGCTTCCCAGGTTGGAAAATGGCTGTGGGAATGCATCTCCTCAGATGAAGGTGTCTGCACGAACTGGCTCCTCTCACCTCTGTCTGGCCCCAGCTTCTTGTCTCTCCGGGACCACAGGGCCCCTCCTTCAGCCCACCCCCCCCACCCCCCCCACCCCCGCCACAGAGGCTCTACCTGGGAGGGATCCCCATGCACACACATTCCCCCGGGGCTGGGATAGGTGTCCACAGAGCCTGAGCCATGTGTGGCACTGGGAGCTGGCCTGATGGGAGACACAGAGGTCCAAGGTCACCTCCCACCCCTCCCTCACCCCAAGGGGCTTCTGTTGCACTGGGGGGGAATCCATCTTCCCCGGGGGGTGAGGGATGGTGCCTGAAGGCAGCCTATGAAGCCCAGGGGTTGCTGGTGGCCAGCATTCTGGGAGCCAGAGGCGGCCAGAGCTGTTCCTGGCAGGGGCCACAGGGAGCAAAGGGGAATGAGAACAGATTTCTTGAGGATGGTAGGAGGAAAAGACTGGAAAGGTAGGATGGGGCTGGTTGTGGGGAATGCTGCACTGGGAGTAACAACCAGGCTCTCTGTGCCCAGGTGTCTGTCCCTACCCCCGTCCTCCCAGCCAGGGACTCTTATAGGCTCCTCTCTCTCTCTTTTTTTTAATCTTTTATTTATTTCTGGGAGAGAGAGAGAGACAGCATGATCAGGGGAGGGTCAGAGAGAGAGAGAGTCACAGACTCTGAAACAGGCTCCAGGCTCTGAGCTGGCAATCAGCACAGAGCCCGAAGCGGGGCCCGAACCCACGAACCGTGAGATCATGACCTAAGCGAAAGTCAGACGCTTGCTTAACCGACTAAGCCACTCAGGCGCCCCAGGCTCCTTCTCTTCTATAGGCAACACTTATTCCCTCAGGATCTGGAACTTTCTTTATCTGGTTTTTTTGTTTTGTTTTGTTTGTTTTGTTTTGTTTTTTTGACTGCCTAGATCCTTCCTACCTTTCTGATCTCTGCCAAAATGTTGGTTCTCAGAGTGCCCCCCTCCCACCTCCCTATACAGAGCAGTCCCCACGCCCTGTCCCCCACTCCCCGCTTCCTACAGCGTATCTTCTATGATTCTCTCCAAGCGTTATGACCAAGTGGAGTTGTTCTGTGTCTTTGTCTACTTGCTTATTGTCTGTTAGCATCTGTCACATCCCACTAGAATGAGGGAGGAGCCTGGACCTCTGTTTGCCCAGGGCTCCCACACTGCCTGGCTTGTGGCTGGTGCTCAGGAACTAGTGAGGAATCACCCTCGCGTGCTGGGCCCTGTGCGAGGTGCTGACAATGCAGTAGGAGGGGCGAGCCACCCCTGGTCTCATGGGGCTTGTAGTCAGTGAGGGACAGAGCTGCTGAGCAGTGTCATGATGCAGGAGGGAAAAAGAGGGAGGCTCTGAAAAGAGAGAAGGGAAGGGCTGACTCGGGGTCAGGATCAGGGAGAGTGACCACAGGAGCTGAGAGCTGCAGGGTGTGAGGATCAAGGCAGTAGTAGACCGCAGTCAGGTTCACAGGGAAGGAAGTCCACCTGTTGGGGACCCTGCAGGAGGAAACCCCCGGAGAAGACCAAGGAGGCATGCAGGGGCCATGGCATGCAGGGCCCTGTGGCTCACGGTAAGGAACTTGGTGCTTGTCCTCCAAACAATGCGAGCATTGGAGGTGTTGGAGCCACGGACTGATAAGGTCAAATGTGTGTTTTGAGTAGGTCAGCTAAGGAGCCTGTGCTTTATCGAGCAGACAATGATGGCCTTGAAGCTGCATTAGGAAGCTTAGTCTGGCGCAGGTCAGGCAGATTGGAGGGGGAGGGCGAGAGGTAGCCGAGGCCCAGGGTAGAGAATAGTAGGGCCATTGTAAGACATTGGGAGGGAGGCCCCTGGGCAGGTGGAACAGGAGGTTGGCCCAGGCTGGGAGGAGGGGCACAGAGGAACCCCCAGAACAAGATGACAAGCTGTGGGGAAGCTGGGGGGGTTGGGGGGAGGGTTGGCAGAGGGGACATAGGAGCCCAAGCCCAGGAGAATGGCCGGGAGACAGGATGAGGGGTCTGAGGGAGGTGCTAGGTTTGGGGGGATGGAGCCCAGATAGGGAAGGATCCAGGAGGTGCCTGAGAGCAGGCTTGGAAGAGAGCACAGTGCTGGAGGTATGGCCGCATCTCCCACATGCAGGTGGTGTGAGACTTTATAGAGCTCCGAGCAGAGCCCTGAGCCTGGGAAATCTAGACATGGGCCCGGGCAAGGTGTGAACTTGGAGCTCCGCCGCCTGCAGAGCTGGAGGAGGAAGAGTTAGTACGGGAGGCATTGGAAGAACGGTCGGGTGGGCAGAGGAATTGCATTACGGAGAACTTTGCTGAGCAGGGCTGCCCCATGGGCCCAGTGCTGGGGCCCAGTGAAGAAGGGCTGTGGGGCTGGACCGGGCAGGTGACACAGGGCGGTAGAGTATCAGTGGGTAAGAGCACAGAGGGAGGGAGGGAGGAGCAGATTAGGGTTCCAGCTGTGCCACGTACAGCTATGTGGCCTCGTGCATGTTATTAACATCTCTGAGCCTCGTTTATCTCATCTATAAAACGGGAGCAATAATGATAATATTTTTGTCAAAGGACTATTGTGAATATTTAGATACTTCGAATGAGACTGCACTTAGCCTGGCATGTAGCAAACAGCAAACTAACAAATGAGAGCCAGAGGAGGAAAAGGAAGAGAAAACCAGGGCCGACAGCTGAGGTGTGCTCCTGTTAGGCGAGCTCTGGGACTATCTGGCAAAGGGGGTGACACATACGTTCTGGGGCGCTGGCTTGTTTATAGCCTGTTCTGTCTCTTCTCATGGAGCCTTGGGGCGTCAGGTCCCTGCAGGCAGCAGAGCCCGATGGTGGTGTGTGTACTGTGTGGGTCCCATGCTCCCGGTGACAGTCCCCTTTCTGGCTCAACACTCTCTCCTCTGTGTCCTCCGGGCCTTACTTTCTCTCCCTCTTAGGCCAGGAACGTGCCTGTTTGGCTCCCCGGCCAGGACCAGCCCCTCCCCGGCAGCAACTGTGCCATTCGAGTTGGGGACAAAGGTTGGTGGTCCCAGCCAGCCAGGGCATAGCCTGCACCCTGCTGTCGTCACCCTTGACCTCATTATGCCTGGCTGAGGAGGGCACGCTGGACTCCTCAGGGTCTCTGTTCCAGAGTCTGCCCCCTGGGCCTTCCTCTGCAGCTCAGGGCCCCCTTCCCTACTGTGTACGGCAAATCCACCCGGGCTTCCCCTTGTCACCTGTCCTGCTTCCTTGGGACCTCCCTACCCCCTGCTGCAGTTGCTGCCTGCTGACCCCTGGGTAGGGGCACCAAGAAGCCCCTTCCTACAGCTCAGCCGGGTCTTCCTTCCTCCCCAGTCCCCTATGACATTTACCGGCCGGACCACTCGGTGCTGACCCTGAAGCTGCCTGTGACAGCCTCAGTGAGAGAGGTGATGGCAGCATTGGCCCAGGAGGATGGCTGGACCAAAGGTCAGGAGCTGGTGAAGGTCAACTCTGCAGGCGGTGAGTTGTGTCTCTGGGCAGGGTGGCCCCGAGGGAGAGGCCCCTCAGGTCAGCGCCCAGATTCTCCCCCCACCCCGGGATTAAGATCATCATCTTTATCATCTTCATCAATGGCAATGATGGTTAGCACGTAAGAGGTAGCATTTACGTCTCTTCAAAGTGCTTTGCGTGTAGTGCTTGAGAGCGTGAGCTCTGGAGCCTGTCGGCTGTGTTCGAGCCCAGCCCTTGAGCAGGATATTTAATCGCTCTGTGCTCTTTTTAGCATCTGTAAAATGGGTCTGATGAGAGTGCCTTCTTCAGAGAGGAACTGTGAAGATTGAGTGAGCTCATCTACTTATGGGTTTAGAATGGTGTCTGGCACAGCAGTTTATACAGAGGTTTTATTATTATCATGCTCATATGTTCATTTAATCCTAGTAACAACCTTATGAGATAGGTACTTTTCTCCTGTTTGCAGACCGGGAAACTGAAGCTCAAGGGGTTAGGCAATTTCCCCAAGTCCACACAGTAAATGAGAGTGCCTGGCTTTTGAATCTAGGTAGTCTGCATTCATTTTGTCAGCCAGCAAACGTATTTGAGAGTCAGCTGATGGGCCAGCAATGTGTGAGGAGCTAGAGGCACCATGGCAGGTGAGATGGAGCAGCTTAATGCTTAGGACCATAAACAGGACTCCTAGACCTGGGCTGGGATCCCAGGACCCACTGCTGATTAGCTGTGTGATCCTGATCCCAACAGAGTGCTTACTGTCTTTGAGCCTCTGATTCCTCATCTGTCACATGAGCACTAAAACTGTACCTATCACACAGGACTGCTGTGGCCATTAAACGAGATCATGTATATAAAACACTTAGCCCGGGTTGGCACGAAGTTAGTGCTCAGAACAGGGCAGCAGGAGAATTATTTAGACCTGCTTTCAGGGAGCTTGGGCCATCAGAAACCACTGCAGGTTTTCCGGGAAGGACATAGCCTGGGGTTGACAGCTGGAACCCAGGGTAGACAGGAATTAGGGGCACCCAGAGAATAAAGGCAAGGAGCGGAGGCCAGAAAAGCAAAACCTTCTCTAAGCCATGGGTGTCTGTGCTCTGTTCTGGGAAGCACCGCTCTCTGGTGGCCACCTGGAGAACTACAGCTGCCCAAGGACTGTTGACTGACGCCCTACTATATAAGACAGAAGCTGTTTAGAGCACTGACCTGCAAATTTTTTAGATGGACTTCCATGTCAGTAACTAATATTTTTACTACAAGCCCCCTGATCTGTGTCTATTTGCTTATAAGTCATTTGCATATACTCCTACGCTAACATCATATAATTATAAAGCTACCCACAACAGAAAAATGCAAAACAGATGAGAAAAATAAATATGTGCTAATATTTTTTTGAACACATGGATGGTCTTGTATATCTTGCTTTGGTGGCTACTGGTAGAGACTGGGGATTCGAACGTGACTAAAAACACAGTCGCAGTCAGTAGGCAGTGATAAAAATCAACACTAAGGCCTCTGTAAGGCATTTCCAGTTTCCAAAGGGCTTTTGTATGCATTGTATCCTTATGGCCACTACTTATACAAATTAATTTATTAGACTCATGAGTAGTCAGGGTAAGTCTTGCTGTCTCCGTGTGACAAAGGAGGAAGCTCAGGAAGACTCCAGTATTGCCCAAGCTCTGCCTGTCTTCTCACCTTCCTCGGGTGTGTGGACCTGGGCAGTGCAGGGGAGTGAGCACCCGGCCCTGCGCATTTAGAGCGCCTGCCCAGGACCCCAGCCTGGCTGCTGGCAGAAGGGGCATCCGAGCCTCCCAAATGGGGCCTCCACCCTGCCTTCAGTTGCTCCCTGGCCTCCCTCCCTGCACCCGCCCCCTCTCAGCCCACTCTCTGCTCTCTTTGCAGATGCCATTGGCCTGCAGCCAGATGCCCGTGGTGTGGCCACATCGCTGGGGCTCAATGAGCGGCTCTTTGTTGTCAACCCACAGGAAGTGCACGAGCTGGTAGGGACAGGCAGGGTGCCAGGGAGGAGCTAGGGGTGGCAGAGGTGGGGGCAGGGGAGGGTCATAGAAAGGAGGGAGGGGGGCCTGGCTCTGGCTGCTGTTGGGACTTAAGGGAGAAGAGGAAGGAGCAGGCCTCAGCTGATAGGAAGGTTCCAGATGCTGGGGAAGGGAGAGAGCTGGTTGAGAGCTCTGGAGAAAGAAGGCCTCTGCTCATTAGGGGTGCCCCCAGGAGACTGGAGCCGTACAAGGAGGGGGGTATCAGCACCGGGGGGCCAGCAGGAAGATAGATGCATCTTTGGGGAGCCCTATCCTTCAGAGGCCCTTCCTAGTAGCACCCCTACCCACCCAGACACCCCTTTAATCACGGGCACAGAGTCCCCCCCCAGCTCTGCGCCTGTCCCCTGGAGTGCTCAGGCACCCCTCCTGAGCTCTCTTCCACCTGCAGACCCCGCTCCCTGAGCAGCTGGGGCCCTCCGCGGGCTCTGCCGAGGGGCTGGACCTGGTGAGTGCCAAGGACCTGGCGGGCCAGCTGACGGACCATGACTGGAACCTCTTCAACAGTATCCACCAGGTGCAGGAGCAGAGAGGGGAGGGGAGAAGCACAGATGGCAGGAGCACCTTGCCTGGTGGGGGCTGACCTCCCCTGCCGTCTGTCCCCCACCGCCAGGTGGAACTGATCCACTATGTGCTGGGCCCCCAGCACCTGCGGGACGTCACCACCGCCAACCTGGAGCGTTTCATGCGCCGCTTCAACGAGCTCCAGTACTGGGTGGCCACAGAGCTGTGTCTCTGCCCCGTGCCCGGCCTGCGGGCCCAGTTGCTCAGGAAGTTCATCAAGCTGGCTGCCCAGTGAGTGCCTTGGGGCCGGTGGGTGTGTGGCAGAGTCCTGAGGCCACCTTCTCTCCCATTCCCGTCCCTGGTCAGTTTGTTGGAGACTCTTGCTTCCCTGGGTCTCCTACGAGAGTCTGTGTATCCCCAGCCCATCTACCTGCAGCCCCCACAGAGGCTGGCCCAGCCCCATCCTGGCCGCAGGCTGGCTGTTGTCTGGGTATGAACTCTGTGGGTGTGGCTGCTTCCCCTGAGGACCTCTGGGTCTTCCACTCACAGCCTCAAGGAGCAAAAGAATCTCAATTCCTTCTTTGCCGTCATGTTTGGCCTCAGCAACTCGGCCATCAGTCGCCTGGCCCACACCTGGGAGGTAGGTATGATCTGGGGGCGGGGGGGCCTGTGCCCATCCTGGGAGTCCTAATTGGGGATGGGGCTCCCATCCCAGAGCAGTGACAGCTACATCTGCCTCTCCTTCACAGCGGCTGCCCCACAAAGTCCGAAAGCTGTACTCGGCCCTAGAGAGGCTGCTGGTGAGTGCTGGGCCTTGGCTCCTCCTTCCAGAAACCCCAATTCTGGGCTTCCCAGCAGCCCTTCTATGTATCTGTGGTCCCTTCCAGGATTTCCAGCCCTGGGTCAGAGCCTGATTCCGTCTGGGCTGACAGTCTGGGGAGCTGGCTGAAGGACGGAGTGTTAGCATTGGGGGGTGCACAGTGTATTAAATCCCTCAGTGTGGGGAGCATTGGCTGCGGCTATGACGTCCTGTATGAAGACCAGGACAGGGCACACGTGGGGTCTGGCCTTGGGCTCTGATGCACCGGAGGAATATCGGGATCTCTGGCCTCCAGCTGACCTGCCTCAGGACCCCCGGAAGCAAGTCCTGGCACCAGACTGCATGGTGCACCGGGGTCTGTCAGTGGCCCCTCAGGAGATGTGAGGAGCCTGTAGGCTAAATTAGGTGATGAGGGAAGCATACAGGAGCCGACTGCCTCTCCCCTCCTCCTCCCTGCTAGGGATTGTTGGGGGGTTAAGAGGTTTGAGAGTGTTCAGGAGAAAACTGGCACAAAGGTGCTTTTATCAGCCTGGCTCTGAGCTCTTGGGGGGAAAAAATTCACTTTGCAGGCTCAAGAGGTTCAAAGGAATTTACTCACTAGAGAGGGACAGAGACAGAAAAGAGAGTTTTGAAGTCTGGAGGGCCCCTGAGACTAACAGCCTTGAAGTTTGCCTGGGGGGTGGGGGTGGGGCTAACCCGACGCCAGGAAGCCATGCGAGCAGACTGGCCATCCTGTCTCAGGTCTCCTCCCGCCTGCTGCGGAGCCCGCCCTGGTGAGGCCCGAGGCCAGGGGAAGCAAAGCTCGGAGAGGCCAGGGCTTGCTCGGGTCTTGGTGTGAGATGGGTCATGCTGAGCGCGGCTCTCCCTCGCTCACGGCGGCTTCTTCCCTCCCAGGACCCCTCCTGGAACCACCGCGTCTATCGACTGGCTCTCACCAAGCTCTCCCCTCCCATCATCCCCTTCATGCCCCTTCTTCTCAAAGGTAATAGGACCAGAGCTTCCCCTCCTGCCTCCGCCCTTCTAGTCCTGTGCCTGTCTGCATGTCCATCCGCCCCTTGGGGTGCTGACGTATTGGGGCACACAAAGACGAATTAGGAGTTCCCGGGTTAGAAGCAGGGTTGAGGCATGCAGACAAGCACTGAGGACATCAGGTGGTCTCAGAGATGGGGCCTAAGAGATACAAGGAAATTGCTCCAGGGGTCAGAGGTGAACCGGAGGAGGAGGGCAGTGTGGGCCTAGGACGCGCAAGGCCCTCGTTATTGGCCCCCTGCCTTTCCTGGGCGGCAGGAAGAGGAAGGACTTTGGGGACCTTTCAGCAAAACCCATCTCTTTGCAGACATGACCTTCATCCATGAGGGAAACCACACGCTGGTAGAGAATCTCATCAACTTTGAGAAGATGGTGAGTTCAAGGACAGTGAGAGTCTGCCCCTAGAGTGGGCTGGGGGATATGACTGTGGCCTTGGAAGGGGGTGGGGGTGGGGTGGGAGAGAGTCTAAAGCTGTTAATAATACAGATATGGGGACGCCTGGATGGCTCAGTCAGTTAAGTGTCTGACTCTTGATTCTGGCTCAGGTCAAGATCTCACAGTTCATGAGTTCATGCCCCACATCGGGCTCTGCGCCAGCCCTGCAGAGCCTGCTTGGGGGTCCCTCCCTCTCTCTCTCTCTGCCCCTCCCTGCTCACGCGCTCTCTGTCTCTCTCAAAAGAAATAAATAAACTTCAGAAACATAATACAGTAAGAATACTTCTTATGAAATAGCCCCAGCTTCTCTCCCTTGCATGGTGGAGAGGGCGGCCTTAATTACCTCACCCTGCATCCGGGGCCCTCCAGGCCTCTTCTGCTCTAAGCCCTTCCTGATCTCTGTTCTTTCTCCCACTGTGCGCTCCCCACGGGGCCTGTGAGTGTGCTGGGGCAAAGCAGGCCTGGCCCCATCTAGTCCCTAGGAGCACCCCCTCAAAGGGGGCTCAATCTCTAGCGGACCCACAGGACACACTAGGGGCCTGTCCCTCAAGCCTGGTCTTCTGTCCTCATGTTGCCTACAGAGAATGATGGCCAGAGCCGTGAGGATGCTGCATCACTGCCGAAGCCACAGCAATGGTGAGAGGGCTGGTCCCCATGCTAGGAGTCCCCGCCCCCACCTGTCCCCTTCCAGGCCCCTGCTCGGCCCAGCCTCCCTGACCCCCACCTCTCACCCCACGCAGTGCCCCTCTCACCACTCAGAAGCCGCGTCTCCCACTTCCACGAAGACAGCCAGGCAGCAAGGACATCCACATGTAAGTGGGGCAGGGCTGGGTGCTGACGGGTCAGCCACGGCTGGCATTTACAGGCATCTGCGTATAGGATGCTGTGAGCTCTTCACACCTCTCTGAGGTGGGCAGAATGTTATGTGCACGGACAGATGCACAAACACGCCTGAGCACTGAAGTGACCTGTGCAACGCCACACAGTTAGTGACTCCAGACCGGATATTTTTAGTTGGACTTCAGATGCATGAAATGGGATTAAATCATAATCCACGGTTCATACCACATCATGGGCCCTTTATTTTATTTTATGTATGTGTCTGTTGCGATAATATAATGGACGCCACTGGGCCCAGGCCAAGTATGAGCACATTTACAAGAGCTTCCTCTCCTTAAAGAGCCTTTCCTTTTCCTGAGCCGATGGAATATATTTATTTAGATATATTTATATAGACATGTATACACACATGTGTACATCCACATGGTTCTTTAAAATGCTTCATGTATATGTTATGAAGACAAAGTATTCTTTAGTTTCAGTTGTTTTTGAGTTTAGTAAGAGGAGTATGATGCTGTATATAATCTTGGGGACCTGTGTTTTTCTGAGTCTGAGCTCTTAACCACACTTCTGCTCCAGACTGGGGAGGCTGTGGATAGTCTTCAGGATTGGCTGTGGGAAGTGGCCGGGTAGGGTGGTGAAGGGCAGCAAGGGTGATTTGCTCCTTGATGGTGAAGGGATGGGCCCTACCAAGTGGCGTGGGAGCCCCCACCCCACTCCCCAACCCCCACTCCCGAGTGGCATGAGCGACCCCCCCTGACTGTTCTCCCCCACACCCTCTTCTCCCCCCCACCCCCCAGGCTCCGAGCAGTCGCTGACCACCCGGAGTCCAGCCAGCACCTGGGCTTATGTCCAGCAGCTGAAGGTCATCGACAACCAGCGGGAACTCTCCCGCCTGTCCCGGGAGCTGGAGCCGTGAGGAGGCTGGGGCCCGAGCAGGCACTTCCCGTCAGGAAAGCCAGGGCACGCCCGGGGCCAAGAGGCACGCAGGCCGGCCGCAGCTGGGCAGGGCTCTCCGTGGAGTGGACTCAAGGCCCTGGAGCGGGCAGTGTGGAGGCAGCTGTCCCCCGTGATGACTGGCGGCCAAGGAGGACCTCGGGATGGAATGGGCCGGGGCCCAAGGCCAAGGAATGGGGGGCAGAGAGGCCCTGGAGTGGGTGGGAGAGCAGAGCAGGTGCTGGGACTCTGTGTTCAATAGAGAGCTCTCCACACCAGGTTTTCCCCAGATTCTGTGTCTTGTGGCTTTGTTGTCAGGCCATCTGTAGGCGGTTTGTTTTCACAGTGGACAGAGAGAGCCTGTCACATCTGTGTGGCGGGTGTGTGGCAGGGGCAGAGTGGCCTGGGGAGGGGCGGGGGAGGGGCCGTCCTGCTTTTCTTCCCAGAGCACAGGAGATAAACAGCCGGGTGTGGCCAGGGCTGTTCCTACAGGGGGAAGGGGGCAGGGGGCAGACGTGCTAGTCCCAGAGGAGCCTTATGGGTTGCATAAATCACCCTGATGCTGTGTTCCCCGGGCCAGCCCTTTTGGGGCGTGGCAGTAAAGGCCCGGACACTCCAGACCTCAAGAGCTGGGGAGGAGGTGCTGTGCTCTAGAGCTGACCAGGAGAGTCTGACAAGCAGTCCCACTGGTCTCTGGGACCCAGGCAGGGCACCAAGATGGCTGACTGCCGTCCAGACTTACCCCCCTGGCCACAGGGGCCGGAGCAGCTGCTGGAGCCTGGAGGCCCTGTCAGTGGCCAGCCAGGACAACCCTCGGCTCTCCAGTGTGGTCTGAGAGCACTGTCACAGCCCAGCTGTGACTAGCTTCCTCCCCCCTCGCCTCCTGGCTGCACTTGCTGTCCTTCTCTGCCTGCAGCACGTCTCAGCCTGTTGGGTGGTCCCCACAATGAACGGAGGTCTTAGAGAAGTGGCCGGTGATGGAGAGAGAACACTGAGGCAGAGACTTCGGAGGGGAGACCATCCCTTTCTGAGCCATAGCAGGCTCCCAGGAAATCCAGTTTCTTATCAGGGATCGGAATGGTCTCAGCAAGCTCTGTCACCGTTCAGTCCTTCCCTCCCCAGGGCTTCCTGCCTCTCAGCAGGGGGAGGTACCCTGTCTGGCCTGGTGAAGGGCCTCTTGGCCTTGGGGACCACCCCAGAGTAGGTATTGAGCAGCAGGCCCTAGCGCATCTAGAGGACGTGGGCCCCTACATCGAGGTGGGGGAGACAGCTGGTGTGGCTCTGGACTTGTTCAAGTCCTCCTCCCCTCACCCCTGCACTGTCAGACCTCTCTTATCCCTGTGGCCATGGACATACATGCAAACTGCTTCCATAGAGGGTTAGAGCCCTTCACAGGAGGCAGCACAGCTGGGATTATACCTCAGGTCTCTGAGTGAATCTGAGCAAGTTAAGGAACAGTTCTCTGCCTCTATTTTTCCATCTGTAAGATGGGTGTGGTGGTCTCAGTCCAGCTTTAAGTGACAAGTGAGTCAAACCGTAGCTCTGCCTCAAGAGTCAAGGAGACAGCCTCAGCAATCCCGTGTCCTCGACCCAGTGGGCCTGATGGGGTGGGCAACGACGGACTGAAGTTGGGCAGAGCTCATTCCTCCAGGGAGAGCCTGGTTAGAGCAGATGGCAGGGTCACCTAGTCAGTCCCCTTGCCTATGGGTGGAGATGCAGGACTGCAGGGCGCGGAAGCTTCCAGAGCTGAGCAATGATGACATGAGGCCCCGGCCCTGGTGAGTCAGGACTGCCAGGGGCTCACTTCCCCCCAGAACTCATTGTTCATGGGGTTTGGGCAAATGCCAGACCAGCCTGCCGGTCACCATCCTTTCAGACCCAGGGGTGAGACCAACCCTGCAAAGACAGAATGGAAGCCACGCGTGGTCGGGGGTGATGTCATCCATCAACATGTCTACTTGTCTTCTCTGGGGCCACACCTATGTCCCCAAAGAACTTGGGCAGCGCGTGAATCTCCCTACTCCCTCAAACTGCCCTGCAACTTCCCAGCTGGCACTTCTCTCAGGCACGACCCCTGTGGAGCCTGCTGGGAGAGGCTTTGTCAGGAAAACAGTGCCCGGGACGGGCAGGAAGGCCCAGACTGGGCTCCGGAGACCCTGCTAACAGGGCTGCGTCACCACGGGAGAGGCAGAGGCTCCAGGTCATGGTGGCTTCTTGTTCTTAGTGCCCCACTCCCTGCTGTCTCCCTGGCTGCCGAGGCACGGGGTAGCTGGAAGCCCCCTCTCGTGTCCTGGCAGCCCACGCTGTGTGCAGGGGGCTCCTAGTTGGTGTCCTGGCTTCAGGGCAGCTGTGACGGTGGAGAAGCTCAGGGGACTGCTGAGAGAAGACAGTATAAGACGAGGCCTTCAAAAAAGCCTCTCTTCCCTAACAGGAGGTAGAGCGGAGAGGGAATGTGTGTGCTTGCGCACACACAGAAAGGAGCGGGTCGTTGTTCCCCTCCAGTACACTCACATACGCACCCCTCCCTCACCCCTAATCCCTAGCTCCCTCCTGAAGGCTGGGACACTAATTGTGGGGTGCATGCAGGGAGGGTCATGCCTCTCCAACAGGCTGAGCAGGGTCTTGTGAAAGGGTAGGCGGGGCCGGGGAGCCCAACTGTCCGTCTCCTCTGGCGCCTGTCCTGGGAGCCGGCCCTCCTCTCTCTCTGCGAGCCCTGGGCTTGGGCTGCTAGCCTTCCCAGGCAGCAAAGATCAACCCCAGCACCGCTGTTCTTCCTCGCGTTTCTCCTGCTGACTTAGACTTGAAGAGTTTTCATCGTTTCTGGCATACTTTCACCTCTATTTTCGCCTCGTATTTTTATACTGATAATACGGCAAGTTTTTTTTTTTACCCCACCCCACCCCTATTTAGAGTCAAATGGAGGCACAGAATGATGGGCCTAAGGTCACGTAGCTGGCTAATAAGCAAGTGGACTGATGAAGAGACCGGGTGTGTAGCAGCTGGGCCCATGCCATGGGCCTCTGCTCACCCCTGCCCTTCCCTGGTGCCCCCGGCACTCCAGATGCAATCTCCCTGAACCCCAACATTTTCTTCTTTTACAGGAATGGGCCCAGGCACATACATTCCCCCCTCTCTCACCTCATATTTGAAATCTTATGTTGTGGGGGCTCTGTGAGTGAGAGGTAGTTGGGGCCCTCAGGGAGCAGACCACCCAGGCAGGCAGGCAGACAGACCCAGAATAAGGCTGTCAGAAGGGACAGGATGCCGCAGAAAGCAAGTCCAGAGAGCGGTGGGTGCCTAGGGCCGTGGGATCTCCCTGCTCACCCCCAAGCATTTAGGCACAGCTCTGCCTCTCAGAATTGGGGATCCTCTCTACTTCTTGCTGGAGCGAGTCACTGAGCGTTCTGAGCATCAGACAGGTACAGTGGCTGGTGGCCTGACAGTTGTTCATGATTCCTTCTTCCCTTCCATGGACCAAGAGGCCGGGAGGTAAATGCATTCCCAAAATGTATCTCACACCACCCCGCCCCAAGTGCTAGGCTTCTCACACAGCTGCTGGGGTGGGGGTGGGGACACGGGCTTGACCTAACAGTCCCCTTAGGCCTGTCCGGTTGCCCCAGACAATCCAGGTATCCGCCCCTGAGATTCTGGGCTCTTCAAGACCTGAGCCCCGCCCTCCCGTTGCGAAGCTGGACAGGGCACCTGAGGGCAAAGGGGCTTATGGCCCAGGTGAGGAGTGCCTGTTGTCCCTCCCAGTGATGATGAAAGCGATCCCTCTGAGAAGCTGAGTCTGACTCATTTGTGCTTTGAGAGCATCTTGTTAGTCATGCCTGGGGCCTTCCTGGGGCAGGCGGCCTTGCTGGGGCCAGAAGGGCTGCTGCTGCTGGTGGTGGGTGGAACACTGCGGAAGGAACATGGGCCCTGTGACTCCCAGAGGAAAAGGAAGGCTGGGCTCAGAGCTCAGATCCACACTTTTAAGGGAAAGGTGTGGGATTCTAGTTGCTTGTGTATGTTTGGACTTTGACCAGTATGCACCCTGGGTGAAGGTGCCCTGGGTTTAGGGCCTCATCTGACTCTGCCTGACGTGTTCTTAGCCCTTGGGGAGAACTCAAGGCCACAGTTGTCTTGCTGGGGTGTGAGGTGTGGGCAGCCACAGCTGTTTCTGGGTTGCTGTTGGAAGGAGAACACAGGCTCTCCTGGCACTGAGGGGACTGTAGCCAGCAGAGGGGCGGAGACAGGGTGGCTTCTTGCTGGGGTCATGACAGCAAGGCATTTTTAGCTCACTCTACCTTCCTGAAAGGTGCCCTGTAAACTAGAGTGTGAGGTGGCCCAGGTAGGTGTCAGGGCAGCCCTCCGCGGATGCAGCGCGTGGAGCCAGAGGGTCCCGGGTCTCAGTGGCCACGCAGCCTTAGGCAAGTCCCTTCCTCTCTCTTCCTTGCTTTCCTGATTTATAAACAGGGATTTTGACTAGAAGGGTTTGGGATGTATTCCCACTCTCAGTGTCTTAGGCTGCTCAAGGCAACGGGAGATGAGGGGGCAGCGAAGCTGTGGGTCACAAAGCTGCAGCTCTCTGAGCATCTTCCCAGTGACGGAATGTCAGCTGTGAGCAATTTTATCAGAAGGCTTTTCAGTCCCCTACCCCTAAACATTGCCTCCTGCAACCTGCCTGTGTGCTGGTTGTCTGTAGAAGGCCCCTGTTGGGTAAATATGTAACTTGGGAAGATTCTAATGGTCTAATGGTCAGGATTCTAATCCTTCTAATGGTCACTTCAAGGGAGAACTAGAAAGGAAGAGCCCTGAGGCAATGCAGTAGGGGAGTTTTCCTGACCCTGGGCGAGGGGCAAGGTCCAGAGTATCACTTGGGGAGCATAGGGCACCCCAGGGAGAGGCAGATGGCTGGCTTCACCTGCTCAGCTTTGCTGCGGCCAGTCCTGCAGGGGCAGAGGAAGATGGTGGGTCATGGAGGAGGTCAGCCTTCCTGATCTTTCTTCTTCTCTTGGTTCTTCACTTCTGTGCTGGGCAGCCATAGGGGATCTCATCAAGTAGAACACAGAGCCATGGATTTGTTCCCCAATGATGCTCCAGCTTCCCCCAGAGCATGTCGTGGGGCTGCAGCCCCACCCCCAGAAAATAAGCGATCCCCTTTGGCAACCAACCAGGGGAGCTAGACGGTGTGATTCATTGAAGAGTCATTCCCCCAAACCTGGAAATACTCAAAAGTGAAATACTTGAAAATACTCAAAAGCACATTACATTTTTAAAATACAAATTTGTTCTTGGAATTAAAAAAAAAAATCACATTATGGAGA